TTTATCAAGATGAGAATATTTCCTCCATTTCTAGTTTCCTGAGAGTATTTATCATGAGAGGATGTTGAATTTTGTCAAATATTTTTTCTGCACCTATTGAAATGATAATATTATTTTTCTTCTTTAGACTGTTCATGCGTTGGACGACATTAATTGGTTTTTGAACTCTGAACTAATCTTGCATACCTTCAATAAATCTCACTTGGCTATAGTATATAATTCTCTGTATACATTTTTTAATATGATTTGCTATTTTGTCGAGGATTTTTGCATGTGTGGTCACAAGAGATATTAGTCTGTAGTCTTCCTTTCTTGTAACACATTTGTCTGCTTTTGGTGTTTGGACAATGCTGGGCTCAGTGAACGAGTTAGAACGTGTTCTCTCTGCTTCTTTTTTTTCAGAAGAGATTGCAAATTAGGGCATATTTTAGTAGACAATATATATGTCTTTTATTTCTTGTTTTTCCTTACTGCAGTGACTAGTATTTCTATACCATATTGAAAAAGAGTTGTGAGAGTGGACATTCTTGCATTGTTTCTGATCTTACGAGGAAAACATTCAGTCTTTCACTATTACACATGATGCTAGCTGAAGTGTTTTGTAGATGCCTTTTAACAAATTGAGATGATTCTCCTTATTTCTAACTTGTTAAGATTTCTATCAAGAATAGGTATTAAATACTTTTTCTGAGCTTCATGTGATTTTTCTTCTTTAGTCTGTGGATTAAGCTGATCGCTTTTCAAATGTTGAAGCAGCTTTGCAATCTAGAATAAATCTCACTTGGTCATGATATAGTATTCATTTTATACATTGTTGGATACAATTGTCAATATTTTGTTGAGGATTTTTGAGCCTATATTCATGAGAAATACCAGCCTGTAGCATTTTTTTTTTTAACAGTCTTGGCCTGGTTTTGGTATCAGGACAATACCAGACTCACAGAATAACCTAGGAATTGTTCTCTCTTCTATTTCCTGAAAGAGACTTTGTAAAATTGGTGTTAATTCTTCTTTAAATATTTAGTAGAATTTTCCAGTAGAACCATCTAAGTCTAAAGATTTCATTTTGTGGAACTTTAAAATTATGAATTCAATTTCTATAGTAGTTATTGAACTATTCAATTATGTATTTGATCTTGGTTAAGTTTGGTTTAATCACTTTTGATTATTAATTTAGATGTCAGTATTTCCATATTTACTAAACAAATGACTATAGCAACATTTGCAAAAAAGAAAATGCCTTTAGTCTAGTGCCCTGATGTAATACATACAAAATTCACAGACAGTTTATAGGCAAAAGTTTCTGCAAAAGCAGACAAGTGGTACATCTTAAAATGTTAAAAAAAAAAAAGATAGAAAAAGCAGAGTGTATGTGACAAGAGCATCTCACAGGTGATATTTGGGGAAGCTGTGCCACTCAATGGTAAGGAAGCTGTAACTGATGGTTATTACTGTGCCATACCAACGTGACCCTGAGTTTAATTTTATACAGTTAAGCCTAGTATAAGAATGCAAAAGAGATAAAATGGGTATATTGCCACTGTCCCTCAAATGGATGACTATAAGTTTGGAGACCAAAGTCAACAGACATTTTGCCTCCCATTTTTAAAAGGCATTCAAAGTGTTTGAGACCTTTCAGCTCACAACAATGAAACCAGTCAACCACACAGCTAGAATTTCAGAGTTATAGTATGTCCCAGGTAAAGAGTGTGTAAAATCAAATTAATAGCACAGATGCTTAATCTAATCCAAGTAGAGCAACAACAACAAAAAAATTTCATTATAAATAATTATTTTATTATCTTAGTAAAAGGCAAACTCTTCTAAAGCCCCCAGAAAACTAGCAGATTCAATACCAGTCAGACTTCATTATCTCCACACCAAAAGACTATCCTATTCTTGAATTGTTCTGAAATTTTATAGTAGTGAATATATTTGAAGTAATAGGCATTATGTGACTTGGATATGCCACTCTTCTTTCTTAATTACATTTTTATTTAAATGGGATTTGTTGTCATGTAATTACAGTCCAGAATGTGAGAATAAGAACAGGTTCAAACCACTTTTGTATATGTATGTGGTAGTTTCTTGAAAACAACTGTTTTATAACTGAGGTCACTTCTAACTTGAGTCAATGAATTCTCCAACGAGAGGACAAAGCTACTAAAGGAAGAACAGTAGCTGAAGATGAAAGCTAGCAACATCTCTGGAGACAATCTGACCAGTATTGAGAATGACTGCTGAATGCCAACCATGCTGAGAAATGTGGAGGACACAGGGTGGACTAAGGCATTGCACCTGCTCTCAAGAGGCTTGCTCTTTTCTAAAAGGAGCACATCTGAAAATACTGAAATCACTTCTCCTTTTGTGAAGGATAGAAAACTCAACAGGTAAGTCCTCTCCTGTGAAGGTCACCAATCTTTTTAACTCTTCACATTGGAGGCTGAAAGACTGTTAGATACTACTTAATCCAATGCCCACATTTTACAAACAGAGAAATCCAGAAAAATGAAATGATTTACCTAAGACTGGGACTGGAACCCCAATTTCCTGACTTCTAATCAAGTACTTTTTATTCTACAAATTATGTTACCTCTCTTAGAGTTCAATGGACTTTCCTCATTCCCAGCTCTTCCCCTAGTTAGGCTGTACCAAACCACGTCAATTAGATTCAGATGAAAAGAGCTCATGCTCTGTTCTTTTCCCTCTACACTCTCATTTCAAAACATCTACTTCACAGTTTCAATTCAGCAAATAATTTTTACAAATTACTAAGGACTTATTCTGGCTTAGGCAGCAGAAAGACTACAAAACCAAGTAAGGCATACTCCCTACTTCTGAGGAATTTATTGTAAATATAAACATCTAGAGCAATATCTTAGACAGCAGACTTATCTATGTAAAATTTATTATCATCACTCAATCAAACTTTCTAACGGAAATCTCCTTTTTAAATCAATGACGCCTTAATTCTCTATGTCCCAGTACAAAAATTTTGAAGCTCTTTTTGCTACTCTGGCATGAAAGTGAGAGTATTTGGTTTTTAATCTTTGTTCTAACACTAACCAATTAGTTTTGAAACACTGGCCAAGTCATACCTGTCTGGGCTTAATCTCCTCAATCAGTAAAACAAAGAGAACACCAACCTTCTATGATTCATTTCTTTTCAAATTCAATCAAATCCAAGGTGCTGGATACAATCGAGTTATTTTATTTCACTTCTTTGCACATTTCTTGAATTCCTCTCTCCTCCTCTATGTCCATCATATCCAAGCTCTTAATTCCTGGATTATTGTTAACAGCTTTTAAACTCTTAGGTGTACATGTTACTTGCTGAAAGCAATTTGAAGCAAGATTTAGCCTGGAGGTATACCGGTTAGACTAGAGGCTAGAAAACTAATTAAGACACTTTTTATAATAAAGCTCAAACTCACACTAAAAGCCTGTCATTCAAGTCTCTCCAAAAACTAGCTTCAGTTGGCCTTTCTGCTTTTATTTCCAACAACTCTTTGTCCTAGTCCATTCAGGCTATAAGAAAACACCATAAACTGGGTGGATTTATAAACAACAGAAATTTGTTTCTCACTGTTCTGAAGGCTGGCAAATATGAGATCGGGATGCCAGTATGGTCATGTTCTGGTGAGGGTCCTCTTCCAGGTTATAGACTTTTGACTTCTCACTGCTGTCCTCAGAATGGCAGAAGGAATGAACCAAGTCTTGAGTGCATATTTTACAAGTGAACTAATTCTATTCATGCGGGCTGTACCCTCTTAACCTAATCACCTCCCCAAAGGCCCCACTTCCTAATACCATCACCATGCTGACTAGGTTTCAACATATGAGTTTTGGGGTAGCAAGGGTAACATTCAGACCACAGCACTCCTCAGCATACTGCCTTTCCAAACACACCTTCACATCTTTAATGTTTTTCCTGTCCTATGTAAAGAGTTTTACTTTTCTTTGTAAACTTAATGCTAATGGTTTTATTAAGCCCATTTTCTTGTATGGATTCAGTAATCTTTCCTTTCTCTTAATTCTTATACAAATATTTACAGTATAAATAACAGTCCCTTTCCTAAGTCCCTCTCATAAATATTTTAAACATAAAGGAGATGATATGCAAAAATTCTCAACCAACATTAAAGGAAGTATAGATATAAAGGTAGTATAAACAGTATAACTTATTTTCTTTATTATTTCTTCTTAATTTCTTTAAAATTAAAATATCAATTGATTGTTAATCTCTTTGGTAGAGAGTTAATATGTACCTCTAAATCAGAGTATTTAATAAGAAGATAAAAATACATTTTCTTAGTTATAGGCTACTTCTGATATATGAAGATGTCTGAAATAAAGTATATGAACTGTTACCAATTAATGTATGCCTAATATAGGCAGATAGTCAAACAAGCATTGAGCAATGTTATATAAATGCTGGCAGGGTAACTTGCTCCATTATTAGATAAACTTTGAAGACGCTATTTAAATTTCAGTCATGAAACAATCAGTGCCAATCTGATCAAATAATGGCCAAAGTTAGCATTAACCATAGTAGAGAAGCATTTGAGAAAAACTTAATAATGTTATTTTCTCTGTTTCAGATTCTCTTATTGCTGCTTGAACTCTACTTTGAATACCTTCTTCTAAGAAAAAGGCCACAATTAGAGGAGTAACAGGGTTTCATGTGGCAGAAAGAAAGTAGTACTGTCATATCCCATCAATCCTCTTAGCACCCAGTCTTAGAGAAAATTCATTGCACTCTCTTCTGCCAATTCCAAAAGAGATTTTCCCAAGAAATGAGTTTTGGGCAATTTTAGTTCCCGTCACTACTGTCCATTTGTCATAACTGAAAAAAATATCCATTATATTACAAAAAGATTCACTTATCCAGTATTTGCTAATTATGATTGAGACCAGAAACATACAAAGTTTCAAAGAAAACAATTGAAGAGAACATCTGAAAGTAATTTCCCTCCATTCTTTGTTGTTCTGCTACTCACGGCAAATCTTCCAAACTGGAGGCTTCATGTCTTGGATCCAAAAGATCATGACCACATTCATTGTAGATTTCCAAATAGGAAATGTGCGTTGTATATATTTTGCTGCTGTCCTGATTGGGAAGGGGAAAGGTATTATTTATTAGTTATAAATAATGATTCTGCTTAAATGAAGATGAACACATTTAGCACTCAGTTTCCTCACAGTTTCTCTCTTTTTCTCTCACTTTATATGGTTTACATTTTCAGTTCATGACACATTCAAGTTGCCAGTTACCATATGCATGAAGCTCTTTTTAATGGCCAACACCCATGATTACAAGCAACTTCAGTCTGTTATTTTTTATTGGTTCCACATTATACATAAAAAGTCAATATACACTTAGAATGAGCCAACTTGGTTGCAGAACTGTGTAACATACCATTTTTTACTTTCCAGACCAAAAAAAAAAGGTTACTAAAAAAATAAACTTACATTCTGTGAATAGTCTATTCATAAAATAGAACACAGATCATTACTTTGGTTTAAAAATTTCAGGAGCAAAATAGTTTCCGTCTTTAATCATAATTCTTTTTCTACTTTTCTAATATTCAATATTTTCTGATGATATAAATAGATAACAATGAAAGTGAGTTCCAGAGGACAGAAAATAGCTGATTAGTCAGGTATGAGTGGACATTAATAGCTCACTGCTGATACCTCACCTGTGGAGTTAATTTTCCTGGCCAAAGAGGGCAAATCAGGGATATTTCACAATTAGTTACAAGAGACATGTTTTTGGTGGGTCATTGCTGAAATGCAATGACACAGGCATCAATATAATGAGGCTAAAAGTCAAAGTGCCTGGTCCTAGTCTCAATTCTGCCAATAGACAAAAATGAGCCCTTCCCCTTGAGGTGGAATAAAGTAGGGAATTTTCAACTCTTGAGAAAGTTTAGTTTTCAATACAAAATATCAAACAATAGCACCTTCTTCTTGTTCCTCCTAAAACACTAACGCTTCCATTTCTGCAAATTTTATCATGCTTCTCATAAAGGGAGAGTATATTTGTGTCTTGTGACCAGCAGGTTGTCAGGGTGTCAGAGTGTATACTAACAGAGAATTTGTTTAAGATGGCCTTCCTGATCGATTCTCACCCATATCCAAGGCAATCCATTTAATAGTTGTTGTTCAAAGGGAGCAAGGACCAAGTCACAGAGATAGGAGAAAGAATAGTGGCCTATAAATAAAAAGCTGGACTCCTACTCTAACTAGAGGTGAGCCTCTACCAAGTCAGGCCTTAGTTTTCAAATCCATTAAGGTGAGGAAGTTGGCTAATAAATCCCTATGTGTTCTCCAGTGTAAAATGAATGACACTTTGGTTCCAAAAGGGCTCCAATTGTCCAAATAAAGATACCGTCATTTCAGAAAGACAAAATGATACATGAACAATTAAAGCAACTCTTAGCCTTCCATGACTATAGCAAAAACACTCAAGCTACAACTGAAATTCTATATTCTGGTGTTCTGTGAAAGTGACAACATGGACTGAATTACCAAGAAAATTTTTTTCAGCTTAATGCTGAAAATTCTTCTGATGTGGATGACTCTAATGGTTATCCCAACAATGGCCAATTGATCACATTAGTATCCTACTTTAGTAACAGTACTATTTCAATATAATTCTTTGGGTTATAACTTGGCTTAGCACAGGCATCAAAAACTATAAACACTAAACAGACTTTGTGTGGCTGTTAGTGTAATCCAGTGTTTCTAAAATATTCCATGGAATATTCCAGGAAAACAGCATTCCATGGTCAACATATACATAAACTCTGTCCCTCTCCGGAGCGTGTTAAGGCCCTAGGGGATATTTCGGCAACATGCTGAGATCCTGTCTAAACCAACATAGTTTTAACATTTATCCAAAATATCTGAAATATCCCAGAGATGATTATGGTTTGAGATTTTAGTATACACTTCTAGTTCTTCTTACCATCAGATAAAAACTGGGTTTGAATATTGGGTCTCCATTTATAACAGAATAATCCCACACCCTTACCCTCAGTTGTTTCACCATAAAAATGGGCATAATAACCCTGATCTCGCATTCTGTTGTAACAGAGAAATAAGATTCTACATTTAAAATCTTACAAAACTGTGTGGCCCATAAGGGATACCAATGAATCATTGTTGCTGCTGTTGCTATTATCATTGTTGGAGTTATTGTTATTATTTCTGGAAGTCTTCTAATGGAGAAGTCAGTATATGAATATAAAAGGAAAGGAAAATAAAAGCAAAAAGGACAGCCAACTTGTATGTTTGTCTGCAGCGGAGAAAAATCTCTTCTTCCAGAAATTAGAATAAATCATAAAACATCAGAAAAATGGCAGGTCCACTGCCCTGAGAAGATAGGGATAATGCCTTTGGCTCCTCCACCTTCTGCATTTTCTGGATTTTTATTGGAAAATACACTTAAAATTCGCTGAGCTATGTGGCAAGCTACCTTTCCTTATTACTCCTTTTTCGTGTTTAGGATTGCCAGACTGTAATGTAACACACATGTTTCCTGCAGACAGCCTTTTCTTCTGCCTCAAAACAAGTTTGAACCTCTCAATACTCAAAAATAATGAGCAGTGATTTCTAAAATAAATGGCATCAATTTTCTTCCCTTAAAATCAGTGAAAATGTGCTCCTATCATACTCATAGGCATTTCAGGACCCAGTATGCTGGGCTCTTACTTTATCTGGAAATGAAGACTTTGCATAGGTCAAATGTTTCCTTTAAGAGAGCTCCATGTACCTTTCTAAGGCAATCAGCTGGGATCTCTGAGTACCAGGCTGCATTTTTCAGCTACACAATATGAACAAACTTCATGATGCACTTCAAGTTACCTGACCAGTTTCACTTCAGGTGTTTGATTATAATGAATGTATTGTATCCCATCACGAAAATATGTTCATTTACAAAGAGTTGCCCTGGCTTTAAATTGGTCCAATGGGCTCTCTACAAGTCTGGGAAGTTATTTAGGATCATTCAGAATGAAATGGAGTTTACAGTAATGTCAGTTACAGACAGATCTAAAACAATGAACCTGACAAATGGTAAGTACTAAGAAGACATTTAGAAATTTAGACCTGTACTTTAGTAACCATAAATAAAATTTTTAAAGGGGCAAAAACATTTTCCTTTGGGAGAGGATGAGTTTATTCTATTTAACTTAATCAGGGGAATTGGCTTCATTTGTTTCAAGAGTTTCAAGGGTTCTCTGAAATTGGTCAGGGATCACTTGGCCACATTAATATCCATATATGGGTATTACTGGCTGTGATAATAACTATCATATATTGAGCATATACTATGTGCAAGGAACTGGACAACATCTTTAAACACAGTATGTTCAGTGCTTCAGAGCAACTACATAAGACTGAGGCATTAAGTAACCGCCCCAATGCCACATGCTGTAAGCAGTACACTTTTTCAGAACCAGGCTGACCTGCACCAATTCCAATGATCTTTCTAAGACAAAAGGCTTCCATGTTAGGCCACAGCAATGACAACTATTAGGAATTATATTCCCAGTTTGTGAAATGTGGAAACAAAGCAGGTAATGTCAGAAATAAGTGAGTAAATGAAAAAGGGGCCTTGGATCCAACATATATGCTACACTCAATCTTTTCTCATCCAAATTTTCTGGCATGCAAAGCTGGCATGTTTGAGCTAGAGAAAGATGAGCTGAACTAATGGATAATTGCTACTTTATGGATGGCAATTAGAATTATGCAGATCTCAGCAATTTCTTCTCATATTTGCAACTCAAAATGCCAACAATATACAGTCAAGAAATTCTGGAGTGACTGTTACATTGACCTAGTTAATACATTTATTATACAGAAATAATACAACCAAGGAATTGCTGGAACTAGTAGGGACACAGGAGATTCTCTATTACAATTCAGTCTCTGCTTTCACAGAAGGGAAAACTGAAACTCAGAGAAGGTATGTGACTCATTATAGGGAATTTGTTTGAGCACAATCAACAAAATAAAGCCTGTCCAAGGTACAGCAGCAATACATGTAATGGAACGAAGCACAGAGTCATGCATCAGATGGAGTTGGGCTAGAACTCCAGATCAGCTACTTATAGGATGTGGGCCCAGAGGAAAATATTTAACCTGAGGCTCAGTTTTCCCAGCTATAAAATGGTAGGTTTCATCGTATGTTCTATCAAATACTGGTAAAACTGATAAAGCTACTGGCATTTTGAGGCACTCAATAAAAGATACATATAATATAGATACAATAATAATAATTACAATGGGCTGGGCGCAGTGGCTCAAGCCTGTAATCCCAGCACTTTGGGAGGCCGAGGCGGGTGGATCATGAGGTCAAGAGATGGAGACCATCCTGATCAACATAGTGAAACCCTGTATCTACTAGAAATACAAAAAAAAAAAAAAAAAAAAAAATTAGCTGGGCTTGGTGGCGCGTGCCTACAATCCCAGCTACTCAGGAGGCTGAGGCAGGAGAATTGCCTGAACCCAGGAGGTGGAGGTTGCGGTGAGCCGAGATCGCGCCATTGCGCCCCAGCCTGGGTAACAAGAGCGAAACGTCGTCTCAAAAAAATAAAAATAAAAATAAAAATAATAATAATAATAATAATTACAATGGTATTTGCACTCTGGTAAATTCCTCTGGGCTTCTATCAAGTGTAAAATGGTAACAATCATACTATCCTAATTTAGTGTTTTGGAAGGTCTACTTTGATAAGAAGGCATTCCTCAGTTTCTTGAGGAATGTAAGATATGAGTTGGTAAAAGGTGTTGTCTGCTCTTTCAACCTTCGTTGACGGAGCTCTCCTTGAGCCTTTGCTGAAATAGCAGTCCTTTAATGAGAAGCACCTTCTTCATTTTCACTTCTCCAGCAAAATCCCAACCTTTCCTTAAAGGTAAGGGCCAGAGTTATGACACAATAATACTTTATCATTTCAACACAATAAAATAAAATGTCATAATACATTTCCTGCTTTCAGGAAATTTTTGCTGAATATATCAAATACAAAATGATATGAACAAAAAGTTTCATACCTTTTGTAACTGTTCAAAAATGTATGACAGTGTCCTTGGGATAATGCCTCGGTCACTGTAACGCTCTGCACCCCCTGTGATAGTGAATGTCTTCCCGCTGCCTGTTTGCCCGTATGCAAAGATGGTACCATTGTAACCTGCCAGGAAACTGTAATAAAGAAATGACATACTTTTAGTATCAACGTGGCTAACTGCGTATGAATTAAATGTCTTGTATTCTAATAACAATCTTATTAAACACTATACAAAAACTTTATAGAAATGTCTATTAAAAATTTACATATGTGAGTTTCTAGCTAGAATTTACATTTTTATCTAGGAACAGCAGCACATCAATCCTGTTCCTTAAGAAAGGATGTGTAACTCAAATGGCGTTCAGTCATCTTAAATATATTCCTTATCTTTTAGTATACACTTGACTTGAATCAAAGAATACATTGAAAAAACATCCTGGGGAAACACCTGTAATTTGGCAAACTGTCAACCTGACACCTGGTACTTCACATGGTAAACACCCACAATGATAGTCACTTCCTGGAACAGGAGGAACACACTCTGTTTGCCACCATGTATCTTGTAATGTAATTCCCTACTTAATACTAAGCACCAAATGAAATCCTCTAGGATTTCCCCTCCTCTCTTTTCTTAGAATGACTTTTTGGTAGATGTTAGTCCATATATATTCTTTAGTCCTGCAGAGGAGCACTTGATTTGATGGTTGTCTTAAGAACCCAAAGGCTGGATCTTCTTAGCTTTTGAATATACGCTTGTAAAAATATAAGCATGAAATGAAGTAGACTTTCAAAACTGGGTCTTTTACCTATGCTACATGGAACAGTAAACTTCTGTAGCTTTATGTTTGTTTTTTTGTTACAAGTGGCTCCCTTATCTCCAAGATGTTTTCATCAAACCAGCTATGATGACATCAGCTATTGGTACCCATGTTGTGGGTAGATTTTTTGATAGATGGCTCCTCTGAGTTCACCCCTTACTGTTGGTATTAGAAATCCTGCTCTACTACTTAGTCAATGTCCTATCTACAGTTCCATATTTCATATGCTTTCATGCCTGTGTGTTGAGTGATCTATCATTATAAGGGCCTCCTAAAACACAGTTTTGACTGGAGAGTATTCTGAAGTGGTCACTTAAGTCCCGAGCACCTTGTGCAACTATTACACTAACAATAATATATTCAGCAACAAGTCAATGCATCTTTTGCTGTGTAGGTAGAAAGTGTTATCGGTGCTGACAAATTTAAAAGACTTAGTACAGGGAATGTGCAAAAAAGTATTGTTACTGTGTGATTCAACATTCTACTTTGGAGGAGGTTAATCATTTTTCTTCATGTGTCTTTACCTGGAGACAATAAATTGTTGAAAAACTTTTAAGATATTGGAACTATGACGAATTTAGGTGTATAATTAAAGAAACTTTTTCCTCAACAGAATGCATTACCAATGAAATACTGATGTCCCATTAGCAATATCGTTTGGATATATAATATTTCTTGGCCATAAGTGCTCTAGGTAAATGAAGTCTAAAATTTTAAATATCTAACCTTAAACATTTTATTGATTCTTGATAGAAAAAATAATGCAAAATATACTAGGCTTTATCTGTCTTTAAAAACAAAGAATACAGAGAACAAATTAACATTTTCATTTTGATATAGATAAAGCCTATGAAAAGTGAGTATGGTAGTACACTACATTGGTGCCTGCTGATTGTTATGTCTACTTTTTTATGCTAAAATCCTCTTTCTCACTGCCAGTTGTCCTAGTATGCCTGTCTCTAATATGTGGTCTCCCTACCCCCATCCGCTGTGGGATGGAAAAACAGATGGCATAGCTTCATAGAACACTGTAAAATAAAAAGGATAAGGCTCGACCTATATATACTCCCATGACCATTTATTTCTTACATTGCTACAATTCAACATTAAATAAGGAAATGTAATCAGGAAAAAATTTGTTTTCAGTCCCTTCTGTAGAGCCTCCATTCCAACTCAATCTTGTAACCACTCTTCATTGGACACTAAGCCTTTTCATGTGCTTCTGGTATCATCTGTCCCAAGGAAAAATACTAGTTATAAATAAAGAAAGAGAAATAGTGGTATAACGATCTTTGAAATCCATTACTCCACAAGAACAATAATATCAGTGGCAACAACTGTCAAAATCAACTTTTTCAGAACTCTGGAAATTGTCCAAAGGCTCACACCAATCCAAGAAGTGTTTATGTAAGACAAAACGCTAAACTCAGTAGGAACTGTGAGCTTTGTGGTATTTTAACTTGAATATTCCCAGCACCTCTCCCTAGCTCCCTGGTAGCCTTGAAAAACAACAGCCTTGAAACACTGGAGCTGTGAAATCCAGCAGCCTTGCAACCACCACAGAGGGTAGAATGGATTTGGGGCTCCTCAAAATGCCCCATCCTCAAAGAGCTACCACTCTCTGACTCATCTGGGAGCACTCTGGAAAAGCTCCACTCACAGTACTTGTCTTTGTTAAACCTGATTCAGAGTTCATTCAGCTTGAGCAGCCCTGTCCTAGGGATGTTTGTTGACAAAAATCAGTGGCAAGTGTTTAACATCATAGTTGGCAAAGCTGCAATACCAGTGAAATAAACAAGAAGGTAGCCAAAAACTTAGAAAAAAAAATCTGTGAAATATGATGCATATAAGGAGCTTCAAAAATCTCTGACATACTCCTGGGAATCAGGAAGGCCACACACGTGCAGGACTATATGTATGCCCAGAAAATACCTGAGGAGGACATTACTATTGACCTCTGGCTGGCCTTGAGACTGCACGAACAGAAAGTGAGAAGAAAGACAGTGTTACAAACTTCCTCAGCATTGAAGGTATGCCTCAGCAAACATGTAGGGACTCTTGCATGCAGGCTGGGAGACCGAGGAATTCAAGGAATTTAAGGTAATTTATTTCATTATCTTGCCTAAACTTACTGGCTTGTTTGTTGGTGATAAATTTGCTCAGTTTTTGTTTATCTTAGAATGTCTTAATTTCTTCTACGTTTCTGAGAATAATATTGCCAGATACAGAATTCTCTATTTGCACATGACATAATCTTGTACGTAGAAAATTCTAAGAAATTTACTATAAAATTATTAGAAGTAAGAAACAAGTTCAGCAGGGCTGTAAGGTACAATTCTTAACACTGTGTACATAGCAATATTGCCTAAACTGATGCTGGCTTACTTGCAGAAATTGACAATATTCTTCTAAAATTTATATGGAAAGTCAAAGGAAACAGAATAGCTAAAACAATCTTGAAAAGAAAGAACAAATATAGATGACTCACACGTCCGTATTTCAAAACCTACTACAAAGCTAGAATAATTAAGATTGAGGGATACTGGCATAAGGCTATACATATGGATCAATAAAATAAAATTAAGAATCCAGAAATAGAACTTTATATTTATGATCACTGATTTTCAACAAGGGTCCCAACACTATTCACGGGAGGAAAGAATGGTCTTTTTAACAAATGATCCTTGGACAACTGGATATCCGCATGCAAAAGAATAAAGCTAACTCCTACCTCAGACCACATACAAAAATTAACTCAAAATGAATCACAGACCTAATTTAAGAGATAAAAGAAAATCCTGGAAGAAAACAAATCTTCATGACCTAAATTAGGCAATGGTTTTTTAGATGTGACCTCAAAAGCACAAAGAGCCAAATAAAAAAAATAAGCGGCACTTAGTCAAAACTAAAAACTTTTGTGTTTCAAAAGACACAATCAAGTAAGTGCAAAGACAGCACAATGGAGATAATGTTTGCAAATTATATCTATCTGGCAAGGGACTTGTCATCATAGCCATAATCTGTAACATACAAAGAAATCTTACAATTCAATAAAAAGAAGACAAACAGTCTAATTAAAAAGTGGGCAACGGATTTGAATAGACATTTCTCCAAAAAGATATGCAAATGGCCAATAGCATATAAAAAGATGCTCAACATCATTAGTCATTAGGGAAATGCAAATTAAAGCCACAATAAGATGCAATTGCACACTCACTAGTATGGCTAAAACAGAAAAAGAGACAATGAGAAGTGCTGGTGAGAAGGTGGGCAAATTGAAACCTTCACACATTGTTGCTGGAAATGTAAAATGGTATAGCTTCTTTGAAAAACAGTCTTACAGTTCCTCAAAATGTAAACCTCATATTACCCAGCTAGGTATATACCCAGCAGTATTAAAAACATGTGTCCACACAAACATTTGCAATGAATGTTCACAACAGCATTATTCATTATTTAGCTAAAAAGTGGAAACAACACAAATGACCGTCAACAGATGAGTGGATAAACAAGATGTACCGTATCCATGCCATGGGATAGTATTTGGCAAAGAGAAGACGGTACTGATACATGCTACAAGAAGGATAAAACCTGAGAACACATTAATTTTAAAAAGTCAGTCCAAAAGGCCATATATCGTGATTCTATTTGTAGAAAATGTTTAAAATAAGAAAATCCCATATAGAAAGTAGGTTAGTGTTTGACAGGGGCTAGAAGGAAGGAAAAATGGAGAGTGACTGCTAATGGGTATGGTATAAAGCTTCTTTTTGGGGTAATAAAATGTTTTAAAATTAAATAATGGTGATTGAGGTTGCCCATTTGTACTAAAAACAACTAAATTGCATACTTTAAAGAGTAAATGCTTTAATATTTGAATTACGTCTCAACAAAGATGTTTTAACAATAAAAATAGTAGAGTCTACACTAACTTGGTAATAACCAGATGTGTATACTATCTTTTCAGTAGTATTTTTAAAAGACAGAATAGTAATTAATAAAAGGAATGAAAAGCTAGTGATTAATTTCAGCAATGAACATTTTTGTTAAGAAATATTTCTGAGCTTCCTAAAATCAACAATGCAGGCTACTGCTTAATCCATCTCAGCTAGAGACAGCCCTGACATGTAAATAAATCAACCCTTTACAAATCCAGGGTTTGATCATCAGAGGAAATTTCCATTGTAGAAACTCTCTCCGTTTTTGTTTTTTGTTTTTTGGCAAAATGCACTTTTCCTAGAAGTTTAAATTATAAAGCTAAGATATTTTATTATTTCTTATCTTTTAATATTTGCATGAGCAAAACAAAAAATAAAGCC